TTAAACCTTATGTACCAGAGAAAAGGCTGCTAAGGAGCACAGAGACTAAGCTTATTAACTCCAAGATTAATCAGTCAACATTAGCAAATTCACAGTTAGAATACAATGCTGATAAATGCATAATCCTTAAATGATGTTCTGATTTGATTTGCCATATTTGCTAATTCCCGAGTCATAATGATTCATTATAACTCTGATAGCCTGAATTTCTCTCACAGAGATTTCAATTTGCACTCTTCACCTGCTTTAAGTTTTAAGATAGCACGTCAGGGTGATCTGCTCACATGAGCTTAGAGAACAATTGTTCAAAGACAGAAAGCTCCAGAGCTTAGGAAAGCAGTGGACTCAGCAGCATTTTCAAAACCTGATGGCAAGGGATGAATTCATCTGGACTCCATTTCCACAATGTTTAGATTTTCCCCTGCAGAATCTTGTGTAATTATTTTCCCTTCAAAAAACCTTGGTTTTCTTTTTTAAAAAAATATTTAGTTTCAAATTTTTATGTGTGTGTGTGTGTGTGTGTGTGTGTGTGTGTGTGTGTGTGTGTGTAGTATGTGGGTGCCTGCAGAGGCCAGAAGAGGGCACTGGATACCATGGAGCTAGAGTTACAGGTAGCTGTGAGGCATTGAAGTTGTTGCTGGAGACAATAACTCCCATTCTTTGGAAGAACAGCAAGTGCTGTTAACTGCTGAGCCGTCTCTTTAGTCCAATAAACCTTGGTTTTCCTATCAGTAAAATGGGGCTATGTGAGGCTCCTCTATCATAGCCTCATTGCAAACATCAATGGAGCAATATACCTCGTGACACTCTGTGGTAGTGAAGTCATTGTCATGTGGGAAAATGAACACTAATCACTTATTATTTTTATGAACATGGCAGTAATATTTTCAGAGCGAGGGGTTATTTGAGTCCTTTGACAGTTATGTACATATAAATGTGTCCATGCATGAGTGTGTGGTCCTTGGATGGAGCGAATAGCAGACACATTAGGATTGGTCCTCACAATTCGGCTTATTGCTAGAATTTATAATGCAAATATAAAATACTACTTATAATAGCGAAGATCCCCATGAAGAAATCATATCTGTAATAATGGGTATAATTACAATGGATGAATGGCATCATTAGGATTGTGATGGCTATTTAAAAAGCAAGTTAGAAAATATTAACGTTATGTATGTGTTAATCTAGAGTGTTTATGCCAATACAGAGCCATGAATGTGGGAAAGTTATTAGATAGTAATCAAGAAATTTTTATTGTCTGAAAAGAACCCTGCATGGAGGGAAGCCAGAGAAATGGGCTTGTCTGAGAGCAGCAGATATATCCAGGAAGAGAAGTGTCAGGAGAGTGCAGGACATCCCACTGGGAGTCAGCATTCTGGGCTCCTTCCATATCACGCAGTGTGGCTGACGATTAAAACCTGACAGAGCATCTGTTCAAGTAATGCAGAGATCATTTGCATGCATGCAGGGGCACCCCGAAGACACACCCCTATTGTGTGAATAAAAGGAACCAGGAAAACACAACGACTACACTGAGTTTGGAACCACAAATGGAACATCAAGGCCTCATCACCCTTCCAGACTGAGGTAGATACGTTCATGACAAACTGGTCATCAGATAGGAAGAAAGATGGAGTTACCTGGAATGTGTGATTCTTTCAGGGATGAAAATATAAAGTGAACAAAGAGCAAAATGGTAAAGATCCAGAAGTTATTTTTCACAGATAACTTGTTCTAGGTCTTTTTCCACATAAAAAATACCTTGCTTTTTTACAGGACATATGCTTCGATTTGACCAGTGTTTTGAAGTCACTTAACATGAGTAGACGATTTCATAAATGCAATGAACAGGCTTGGGATTGTAGGGGAAGCTGGGCAACCAATCTGGATTTTCAAAGGCTTGTAGTGGAGAAGGAATAAGGAGAGATTGGGAAGAAGAGTATGTGATTTGAAGTACATTACCCCCCCCCCCACACACACACACTCACACACACAATTCCAAATAACTAGTAACTCTTCTGATGAGGCCCAGGGCAACAATCTCTGGCTATTTTCAAAGACAGTGTGATCTCCTCCACTTAGGCTCATCTTATTATGCAATGGCAGTCATTCATCTATCTGTCCAGGTATCAAACATTTATAGACAGTCAATTCTACCAGTCACCGGCCTATAAAAGTGAGCTAACCTTTTATGGAGTTCATAGTGTGTAGTAAAGGAAGATACCACACTATACTGTGGCTTTACTTACTTGCCTCAGCACCAGGAACGGAGTATGTGAGGAGAGTGGAAGACTAGTAAAAGTATAATCCGTATTAAGGTTGGTTTAAAGATGATCCATTTGGAAGCACAGAGTTTTAGGTCTCAGAGGTCATGAGATTGACCGCTTCCATTGCACACAGAGAAAAACGTGTGAGGAGATGGACGATCGACTCAAAGCAACATGGTTTATTGGCAACTGAACTGAGAGTTGAATCTACCCCAGGGTGTTTCAGCTCCAATTTGTTCTCCTTCTGATCAAGCCGGTTGCCTAAGGAGGGTTAATGGTTGATATAAATGTTTTATGGAGGGTTGGTGCCAAAGAACACATGCCTAGATTGTCGTTTAAAAGGGAAATAAATTAATGATATGAGCAACTTAATGGAAGGTACCAGATTAGAAGGAGATTAACTTTGCAAAGAGCAGCAAGGAGCAGGTTCGGCTTTATGAAGATACTGTCTTACAAATTAGGGAGTCGATATTTGCTGTGACTGATGTGAGCATTAAGAGACAGAGGCAGATGTGCAGAGCCTATGGAAGGGTATCCAGGCCCACTTAGGGGTGTTTTCAATGGAGTTTCATCCCTTAGCAAACTGAAAAAAATCCATCAATAAGGCTGAATTAAAGCTTATTGGCCACTCCCTCAACATTTTTTTTTTTTTTTGGCCCGGACAAGAATATACAGACCTGTTAAACAGCTATTATTAAAATAATATCAAGATGATAACAGGGTCTGTTGTGTTAGAACATTCTGGAAGCTGGACACCTACTGTACCACGGATTAGCTGTTGGCTTTGGAGAAGTTGCTAAACTCGACCAAGGCTCAGTTGTTTAATATATAATGTGAGATACACAATGTGAGACTATTTAGAGATCCCTGTATGCTTAAAAACTCGGTCTTAGCAATAGATGATATTTGCTTGCACAAAATGTACCACATAAATGGTTAGCTGAACCATGTGTTCTACGTGATAAGCCCTGGTAAATAAAGTCGTTGATAGGCAGGAATAGAAAGAAAAAAAAATGATAGCCCACTCATTTTAATGAGTACCCTGACAGTATATATACAAAATGGTTTATTATTAAACCATTCCACTAGTAGAGAAATTGGAAATATCACAATAAAAAATTTCAATTTTCCATTTCACTAACTTTATTGAATTGCCAAGGCATATGACAGCAGCCAGAGTTGATACATTAAATGTGGATGTTTAAGAACAAAGTTAATATGTGATATTGTTGTTTTCCCTTTTAACTTTCTGCTGCTAACCCCTCTAACATTAAATAAATCTTCTTTCTTTGCTTATTGCCAAAAAACACATATTTTTGATAGTTTGAGTATGTTTCCAGCTAATTCTTCATTTTTCTGTAAAGTCAGTAAATCACTGTGGATTTTTTTTTTTCAATGCCAAGTGTAATACAATGTTAATGTTCCCTGGGTTTCCAGCATCTGGCTTCTGGCTTCTATTTTCAGTTTATGATCCTGGCATCTATATTTGGTAAAAGTCTGCTTATGTTTTTCAAATCTGATGTAAAGTAATTTTACAGCAGAGCGTTTCTGAATTGAACCTAAAGCAAACAGAGTTATCATAATTCTAGCTTTGTGCTTCCTAAGGAAGCAATAGAATGCTTTTTTAAAAACGGAGCCTTGCTCTCCGGCTCCATGTATCGTTGTGTGTATGTGTTTATACTGTGGACGTTAATATCCTCACCCTTTGAGCTGATGCAAGCACAGAGAGCCCGTGTCTCCTCTTTCTGACTGCTCTGTGTTTCCACGCTAGCTAGCACAGGTGAATGTCTTTTCCTGGGACTGGGGCCCTGTTTTCTCTGTTGGCTCTTGACATTTCCTAACTGCAGGGGGTCTTGGGCTGCATTATAGTCCAAAGATCAGCCATTAATTGAGTAAGTTTGTTGAGAAGTAAAACTCACACAGTCCTATTTGAAACCACATACAATAAAAATATTATATATACGTGTATATATAATTTTTATTTAACAGCTTCTGAGGAGAGGTTTAGGAGATGGCTGTTAGTAAAGAGTTGGCCTTTGGGGCCTGAATTCTATCATCAGAACTCAAGCTAAAAAAAAAGCAGCTGGGCATACTGGAGTACGCTGTGAAGATCTTCTGTTGAAAATAAAAGAACATGACCCAACCCAAAACCAAAATAAGGATCACCCTGGTAGAAGCAGAAGCCAGGATGCTAGGTTAGGCTGAAACCACATTGGTTGGATAACTTCTTTTTTAAAAAAAAATAATTTTGTGTGTGTGTGTGTGTGTGTGTGTGTGTGTGTGTGTGTGTGTATGAGTGTGCATAAGTGTGCCTAATGGCATGCCACTTCAAGTGTGTGGAGATCCGAGGATCACCTTCAGGCGTTGGTTCTCCCTTCCATCTTGTGGGGTCTGAGTGACCAAACTGTCTTCAGGCTTATGCAGCAAGCCTTTCACCCCACCAAGTCACCCTTTCTTATCCCAGAAATTCTCTTCTACCGCAGGGTGGGGAGTTCTCTCACTTCCACCACCCGAGGCTCCGCGGTTCCCGGTTTGCAGACCACTCGTCTCAGTATCTTTTGCTGAGCAGATAAATCAGTTCCTGCCTGCTGACGTTTCTTCAGCCACGTTGTTCCATGTTGTGTGGTTATTTAACTTTCCCAGAGTGTAATTTGTTTTTCTCTTATCTCTCTCAGAGTAAGAAGAACAGCTTGTATCTTGGAGGGAAGCCAGATCAAAATCCACACAGAACAAGCCGGCACTCGGCTTGGCAATGGAGCGCTCACAGCTGTGGCTCTGTCTCAGATTCTTTTGGGGTCCTTCCACTCAGGAAAGGAAAGCATTTGGGAAGTTGGACGTGAGTAGATGCTTAAGTCTAAGTGGGAAGAAAGTTGGACTTTGGCTCTGCGAGGGCCACATGCTGGCGCCGCCCTGGTGACATTCCACTAGCGCAACACCCAGGGTGGCTTACGAGACAGTGTGTGCTGTCCCTGGTAGCAATGTTTGCTTGCCGTGCCCGTCTGATAGGCTTCTAAAAGACTCACAGCATGGGCTCCGCCTGTTCAAGCTCTATCACGCAGCAACACTTAAAACCACAGCGGGATTGGAATCACACCCTACTCCACTCCCTCTGGAAGACTCCACTCAGTACCCAGGCAGTCCTGCAAGGGAGAGGGAGCCAGGCTCTTTCAATCAATGCCAGTTTGTGACTAATTACATGGAGAATGATGGGTGACAACATGACCCACACTGCAGTGATCAGCTGGGTGTGACGTTTTCCTTCAGCTCATTGCTGAGCCTTCTGATCAGTAGCCAGCATGACTCAAGAAGTAATATGTTTCCACCGTCGTTGGTTGTCTTACATGACTGAGGGTCATTTTATCCAACATTCTCCATCCGATGATGGTTGTGTTTCTCAATAGGTCTTATAATCAGGAACTACATGTTACTCTCAATGTGGACTAAATATTTTATATGCTTATATAACACACACTTTACAAAGCAATTTTCTTCAATTAATATCTATTGTAAAGCCCTGGCATGATTCAAATATGGTCCCTGTGTGGCACTCAGAGGACAGCCCTGGGTCCTGGTCTGGCCTTCACCTCCATCTTGGTTAAGTTAGGATATCTTGTTTACTGTTGTGTATGCCAGACTAGCGGGCTCATAGGCTCCCAGGAATCTCCTCTCTGCCTCCCATGTTGAAGGAAGGCTAGGATCATATCTGTGTGCTACTGTGTCTTGGCTTCAAGTGGGTTCTGGGAACTCTGAACTCAGGTCCTCATGCTTTGTGGCTGGTACTTTCTCTAATAAGTCATCATGTTTTTGACATACTAAATATCCTTTAAAATGGCAACATGAGAAATAAAATGAATGTTAACAAAAACTATCCCCAAATCTTAAAAATGTCTAGCAAATCTCTTCCAGCACTAACTGCTGTTGACATGCACATGGTTAAGAAGAAATGGTCTTAAATGAGTTGGTAAGTCTGGTGCATCAACTCTTTGTTTAATTTTTCAGCAAAATGATTTTTCAAAAACTAGCCAGGTCCCCCAAGGACCCCCTTTTCACAGCAGACCAGAAGCATGCCTGTGTGATGTCAGAGAGGCATCCGATGGGAATGTTGGCCTGGCCTGGCCCTGTGAACCCAGGAGAGGTGTCTGTAATTGTCTTCATCCCTGCTGATGGCCACGGTTTTCTGAATGTCCCATTAAGGAAGGACACAGGCTTTCTTCTTTACTAACTCTTTCTCACAACGTTCTAGCATTTTCTTGACCTTGGATGTCCTTCCTCACTCCAAATGTTCCTTGTTACAGTCTTGCTTATTTAATTCTTAACTAATATCCTTGTACTTTAACACACACACACACACACACACACACATACACACATATTTACATGGTGTGTATACACATATAAATCACACACATACATATTATATATACTTTAAGATTGTCAGTGGTTCCTTCATTTATGAGGTCTGTGATAGTTTGCTTATATATGTGTGCATGGTTTCACCATGTAGCCCAGGCTGGGCCTCAAACATGCCACATGGCCTGGAGTGCTCTCTAACTTGTGAACTTCATTCAGTCTCCTGACCTGATTACAGGTAAATGCTGCAGTTCACAGCTAACCCTGTAGGCGTCTATGTTGCACTCTGATTTCTTTCTCATTCTTCTGGCAAATTGCTCCTTCTCAAGGTCCTCTGAAGTCTCGTTTGTAATCTGCCCCTTGAATGGGCCGACGATTTCTGCACCAATGTCTTTGGTAAAACTGCCATTGGTTTACTGATGTTTGATTTCAGAAGAGGGGCTGCAGCTTTGTTGTCTGTGGTGGTTTGAAAGGAAATGGTCCCCCAAAGGGAGTGGCACTGTTAGGAGGTGTGGAGTAGGTTTGGTCTTGTTGGAGGAAGTGTGTCACTGTGTGTTGGTGGGCTTTGAGGTCTCTTTTCTCAACCATCACTCAGTGTGACAGTCAGTTGACTTCCTGTGGCCTGCAAGATGTAGCACTTTTAGCTCCAGCACCAAGTCTGCCTGCATGCCACCATGCTCCCATCATGGCGATAATGGACCGAACCTCTGAAACTCTACGTGAGCCACCCCAAATGTTTTCTTTGTAAGAATTTCTGTAGTCATGATGTTTCTTCACAGCAATAAAAACCCTAAGGCATTGTCCATATGAAGAACACACACACACACACACACACACACACACACACACACACACACACACACACACACACACACAAAGCAGTCATTTAGAATCTGTTTAGAATATCCTTGTTTGATTTCTTATTTTGGCAGTTTGGAAGGGTAAGAAGTCACTATGTGGGAACTGGAAAGATGGCTCAGTAGCTAAAAGCATGACCTGCTTTTGCAGAGGACTGAAGTTTGGGCATCTCACCCTTACGTGCCTCACCATAGCCTCAACTCTAGCTGCAAGGGATCCAACACCCTCTTCTGGTTTCTTCAGGCACCTGCATTCATGTGCACACCTCCATCCCTCACCAATGCCTCATACACATAATTTTTGAGAAGTCACTGTGTCATGGCAACAGAGATTCATCAGAAGTCACACAAAGTCACTTGCGTGTGATGCTCTGATTCAGTGATAGGCAGTGAGCGGTCTCAGGACCAAGTAAAGGTAAACTGTCAATTACCCACACCCCTAAGTGCTACAAGATAAATCTTGCTTCCCATCCTTAGCCACACAGATTTTGAACCCCGAGGGTGTCAGAATGTAGCGGTATTCCAGAGAAAATGTCTTTGAAGGTGCTAGACACATAAAAGGTTATCCTCAGAGCTGGACCGTAACCCTACCATTTGACTAGTGTCCTTTGTAGAAGAGACAGGGGTATGAAGAGAGACACAAGGGGACTGTGGGTAAGGCATGATAATGCTGTGAAGAAAGAGGCAGAGAGATGAAGCTGGGCTCAAGGCTGAAGGGAGCCTCGGGAGGGACTGAGCCCCGCTGAGGAATTGGTCATCCAGCTGCACCATGGTGGGAAAGTGAACACAGATGGTGCTTGCTGCCTCTGCTGAGAGACTTGGATGCCAGGATGAGGTACATAGTTCTTGTGGCGTCGCAAAGTTGAAAGGATTATTGGTGAAGAGATGAGACCCTTAACTGATGCTTCTGTTTGGAGTAACTGGAATCCTGTCCTGTGAGGACATCTCCCTAGTTAGAAAGCTTGAATTTTGAACTCCCTCCTTGCCCTCAACAGGTTGTTTGCTCCTTTAGATGGAGCAACCACTGGCTGTGTGAGACCTTTATGTAAGAGAGTGGTGTGCGACAGGGGTCCTGCAAATATCAAAACTGGTAAAGATCTGGAGAACAAGGAAAACAGCAATCTCAGGGGCTGGAGAGGGGGATAAAGCTAAGGGTGCTTACTGCTCTTCCAGAGAACCCAAGGTAGGTTCCCAGTGCCCACGTTACTCATCGTATAACATCCTGTAACTCTAGCTCCGGGGACTATGATGCCCTCTCCTGTCTTCCTCAGAACTTTTGCACATACACATGCACCACCTCCACACCAACAACTAGACAAGGAAAGTCATTGATGTTTAAAGGGTCTGTGACCTTACTCCAGAAAAGATTTTTTTTTGTTTTAAATTTTGCTATTCAGACAGATTTTTTTCCCCCCAGCGGGATGGGATCTGTGTTGGCTTCAACAGAAGATATGCTAACGCAGAATGGGACTTTAAATTGTTTTCATGACAAAGGCTATAAATTATCCTAGGTGACTCAAATTATTCATGAGAGAGGAGATCTTGATTTATGCACCAGCTTTGTGTAAACTTCATTTTTTTTTTGTAAAGTAAATCACTTTCTGTCGACTCACATTACAATCCAAGAACTCTTTATCTTCTTTTAAAAGTCATCTCCAGTTGACACTGGCGTTTTATACTTCTCTGAAAATGTTTTGTAACCTCAGTGCAAAACTTTACATGAAGCAAAGCTATTTCCAGAAGCTGTGTGGGAGGCACGTGGCCCTTGAACAGAGGTGACCTTGGACAATGGCTTATTGCTGGGGCTGTGGGTTCACAGAGCTGGACCCTCTGTCTTCAATGTGCTTCCTGTCTTTGGTGGATTTTGGAACACTAATGTGTTCAAAAAAGCAAACAAGCCCCCATGTGCAAATGCTTTGTTTCATGTGAATATGGGGTGTTCTTACAAAATGGAGTTACATGACTTCATGATAAATAAAACCAGGTTTCCCTTAAGGTAGATCTTTATCAGCAAAACCTTAAAGATGATTAATAGAATCGGTTTGTTGCCACAGTCCACTTTCTGTGGATAGAGTTTCTGTGTATTCACATCCACTACAGACTGCTCTGAGAAGAAATACAATGAGAGAATTCACTTTCTTAGGTGCATTTACCAAGTGTCTAACATGCTCACTGCATTGTATGAGGCTTTGAAAGACCAAGAAGCCATGCCGAAGGAACACTAAGAAATCCTAATATTATAAAACCAAATGGCTATCAGCCTTGTGGTGCACAGACCGGTAAGGCTAACCTAGAGAACTCAGGTCATGGTGGACAGGTGCCACAGGCAGTGAATAGCTCTATTAAACACTGAGTATTATTGTGGAGAAAATCTCATTAAACACAGTGGCTTGTTATGTAAGGGAATTTTTTTTTTAATATTGTACTAGCCTGTAAGTAATCAGCACATTATTGACTTGAATTGCTTTATTTAATGGAAAGCATTATTAACATAGAAAGAGTAGTCCCCATTTTCTTTTCATATTTTTTTCCTCATTATTTCTCTGGGGCTAATACTGTTTGGATACAAAGAACATGTTAATAGTACCCACCTTGAATGCTCCTTTCGAAAACCACAAAGTATTGATTG